AAAGTACATGCCCTTGGCTGGACTCTAACCCGCGACTCATTGGTCTGCAGGCTGACGCTCTATTGCTGAGCCAAACCAGCCAGGAGAAGACATGAAATTTTTTTTTTTAATTTTTTCTTTATTGATTTTTAGAGAGAGAAGAAGGGAGAGGGAGAAAGACAGAGAAACATTGATGAGAGAGAGTATTGATTGGCTGCCTCCTGCATGGCCCCCCTAGGGATCAGGCCTACAACTTGGGCATGTGCCCTGACTAGGAATCAAACTGGCGACCTCTTGGTGCATGGGTCGATGCTCAACCACTGAGCCACAGCAGCCGGGCGATATGGAATATTTGTAAAAATATAACGCACAATCATTATCATGCCTAAAATAATATATTAAATATCCTCTGTGCTTGCCCAGCCAGTGTGGCTCAGTGGTTGAGCATCGACCCATGCACCAAGAGGTCGCCAGTTTGATTTCTGGTCAGAGCACATGCCCAGGTTGTAGGCCTGATCCCCAGTGGGGGGACATGCAGGAGGCAGCCAATCAGTGTTCTCTCTCATTGATGTTTCTATCTCTCTCTCCCTCTCCCTAAAAATCAATAAAGAAAAAAAAATGTTTAATATCCTTTGTGCTCAAATATCCCTAACTGTCTAATTTTTTTTATGGTTTGATGGAATCTGAATCCAAATAGAATTAAAAGATACTTATTTTTAAAACCGATTTTAGAGAGAGGAAGGGAGATAGAGCAACCGAACAGCTTTAAAAACACATTTTTAAATCTATTTATTCATCCTTTCCACTCCTACACTTTTTCTTGCAAGTTATTTGTTGAAGAAACCAGGTCATTTATCCTATAAACTTCCCCACAGTCTGGATTTACTGGCTGCATGCCCATGGAGAACTTTTCATTTTCACCACAATGCAATGAGATTAAGTTTTATTCTCGTTCCCCCATTTCACAGGTAAGAAAACTGACAAGTCAGATGCTCAGAGAAATGAAATGCCTTGCCAAATTTTTGCAGCCTGGGAAGTGGCAGAGCCCAGGCTTCCTAACTTCCAGCCAGGAAAAATAGGACTGCATCCTCGGAACAGCACCTGGCACACAGTATGTACTCAAAAAAACTGCAGCTGACTGAAAAAGCCTGTGTAAACTCCCACTTGTCACACCTTCTAGGTGCAGCTCCGAGACAGTGCCCACTGGCCTCCACCTCCGCACAGATGGAAAGGGCTGCCTGGGGAGTCCTAAAGCCAACCCCACAAACACAGATTCCACAGCCCCTGCAAACCACAGAGCCAAACTTCCCTTTCCACAGGCTCCCCTCCTTTCTCTCTGTCCTCTCCTCATTCATTCATTCAATAAATATTTACTGAACACCACTCACATGCCAGAGTGGGGTCTGGCATGTGAATGAGTGTGGCCAAGTGCCTCTGTACATGGACAGATGGGTATGGTCTCAAGAGGTGTGTGTCTGCATGTGTGTGTGTGTTTACACAAGTATACATTCATGTCTCCAGATCTAAGTGTTCCAGTAGTTGTTAATGACTACAGTTGGGCATATATTTGTGTGTTCTCAGTATCTTTCCATGTATGTGTGTGTGTGTTTCTACGTACGACAGTGGCTGAGAGAGCCTCTGTAAACGTGTACAATTCTGTATGCAAACTTGTGTCTGAGAGAATCTGTGTCTCTGTACAGCTGTGCATCTACACACACATGTCGCTCTATGTTTACATGGGTGTATGTGTAAGTATAGATGCTATATATCCTGTGTATCTCTGTATGCCTGTGTGTCCACACACCTATATATCTGTGTGCATCTCAGTAGATGGTGTGGGTCTCTACATTTGTGTACTCTTTGTCTCTGTGGCGGTGTCTCCCCTCAGGTGCTATGATTGGGACTCTCAGTTGCCAAGCCTGGCCCCTCGCCTGCCCAGATTTCTGTCACCTCCAGGCCCACGACACTGAGGAACGGCCAAGGGAGGCTCTAATAAAATGGAAAGCCTTGGCCCTTCCAACCAGCTCCTGTGCTCAGGACTGAGGTCCCTGCTGAGGGTAGGTGTCTGGAGGGTTGGAAGGTTGTGTCTGCTCCCAACATCTTTAAAACCCAAGGCTTGGGGACCTGGTGAGAAGCCAGAAACTCAGTTTTGGGTGCATTGACAAGAGGCTTTGCTCTGAAAAACAACACCTAGCTTCAGAGAGGAAAAAAATAACATTTTAGTGGAACCACAGACCAACAATGAACCTATAGGCCTTCAGTTCAGAGGACTGTGGTCAGGTTTGGGTGTTGACTCCATATACCTACAGGGCCAGTTCCCCAACCAGGGGCTGGCCTTCTCCAGGGAGAGACAGTGGGAACATAATGGTCCCAGGGTCACTCACTGGGCCTGGAGTTAATCATCTACTTGGGGTATCCCTGTGCTCCATTGGCTGCCTAGGGCCACAGCCCTCTGGGCTGAAGCCCAAAGTGGGAATCAGCTCCCTAGCCAGTGTCTGCCCCATGTCCTGGGGAAAAGGGGCTGATGCTATTGGCTACTGAAATGATTGGGCCCTCAGGAAGCCCCCAGTCTGAGGAGAGAGACATCAACCCTGCCTTCAGGGAGCTCCAGTTTGAAGGGAGAGACCATCCTTGCCCTCACAGGGGCCCCCAGTTGGTGGGAGCCAGGACTCAGTCACAGCTGGGGGGAAGGACTGGAAGGGGTGTACATTTGGGTGGGAAAGAGTAGAGAAAAGCCAGTGCAGGGGCAGAGACCCAGAAAAGCCAAAGGGAGAGACTGAGGAGGACTCCTGAGTGCGGAGGGCAGGGAGGATGGGCATTCTGGTGAGGGGCTCCAATAGAGAGCCCAGGAGGGGAGGCACATCTGAGGTTGGGGGTTCTGAGGGCAGAGAGGAGGAAAACAATTGTGCCCCAGGGGCTAAGACCACCTTCCCTCGTGGATTCTGGGAAGTGTATGTATATGTTGGGGTGGAGGGGTAGCAGCAATAAAGCAGGAAGAAAACGAAGGCCCTGGAGGTGGTCCCACAGGGTAGGGGATACAGACCCTCCATACCATTGCCTCACTCCCTTATGAAACCAAGGATTCCTAAGCAAGAAAATAAAAAAGTTACTGGAGGAGGTCACAAAGGTCAGCTCCCCCTACCCCCTGCCAAAAGTCTTCTGCCTGTGAGTGCATACATGTGAGTGTATGTGCATGCATGTGTGCATGTGTGTGTTGGAGGGGTATCCCCAGAAAGGGTCGATGTACTCATCCAGCATCCTCTGGGACACTCAGGAGAGAAAAAGCCCAGGCCATTGATCCTCACTGAGGCAGAGCCCCAGGAGTCCTGTCTGCTAGCATGAGGAGCACAGACGCGTACACAAGGAAGGAATGAACAGGCGGTGGAAACACAGGATGCCTGGAGTTTGGCCATGACACTAAAGCTGTGTGACCTTGGCAAAGACACAACCCCTCTACAGTTGCTGTTTCCTCTGGGCTGGTGTGGTCAATTGGTTGAGCTTCATCCCATGCACTAGGAGGTCGCCTGTTTGATTTTCAGTCAGCGCAGGTGCTCAGGTTGCTGGCTCGATCCCCAGTAGAAGGCTTGCAGGAGGCAACTGATGGATGTTTCTGTCTCATGGATGTCTCTCTCTTTCTCTCCCTCTCCCTTCCCCTCTCTAAAATAAATAAAAATATATTTAAAAAACAAAACAAAACAAAAAAAACAGAGGGTGGGACTCCATTGATCAGCATGTACCCAATGTAGGATGTGTACAACTGATAGTACACTATGTGCTTTGAGGCAGCACCAGGATACAGTAATAAGTAACAATGAATCACATCCTGCCAAAGTTTGTAAATCTTGTTTTTTTTCAAATCCTCACCAGAAGATACTTTTCCATTGATTTTCAGATAGAGTGGGAGGCAGGGAGAGAGAAACATCTATGTGAGAGAGACACACCGATTGGTTGCCTCCCGCACAACTCCAACCAGGGCCAGGGACCTAATTGTAACCAAGGTTCATGTCCTTGACCGGAATCGAACCTATGACCCTTTGGTTCCTGCATTGATGGTCTAACCGCTGAGCCAAACTGGCCAGGGCTGCAAATCCTTTTTAATTCTTGCTTCAGAGTATGGATCTGGAGTAGACCTGCTTTGCTTCAAGACCAGCTCCATTGCTTATGAGAAGAGTAACTTTAGTCCTCACATACTTCTGTGCCTCAGGTTCCTCATCTGTAAAATGGTAATAATAACACCCATCCTGTGTTACCAAGAAAGCAGGTAACCCTATCTAGCTGGAATTTAATAACATTGCTTTATTCTTAAGGCTTTCTTCTGTATATGGTCAGTGTTTCTGGCCTTCTAGTTACAGCCCTGTTATGGATAAATTTTAAAGTTAAAAGAAAAAAATTAATGCTAATAAGGGGTGATTTGAGGATATGACAAAATTCTTGAAGGTAGTACTCAGTGGCTGCTGTGTGGCAAACCCTGGTAACTTCATGAAAACAGTCTTTGAGCTGGGACAACAGGACAGAGGCAAGCCTGGCCTCCAGCAGGACTGGCACACCTCCACGCTCCTTTCTTTCAATCTTCTCCCACCTCTTCTTCCAGTCCCTTCCCTCAGTGTCTGGAAGGGAGTAACTACCACCTGCTCTCCCCTCTTGCCTTAGTCAGACTCCTCTTTAATCATCCAAGTCCCCGCAGGTCCCTAAAGTCATCTCTGAGTCTGCTGAGCCCTTCCTGGAACCCGCCTTGGCAGCAGATTAAAGACACCGGCATGCTTTATCTCTGCCAAGTGACCCTCGCTAATAGGTTCTATAACCCTCCCACCAGGGGCGGGAGATCCTATGGGCCCCGCCCACTGACCCTAGGTCTGACTCTCTTCAAACGCACCCAGAGGCGACTTCGAGCCCCCTGCCACTGCCTGGGCAGGTCCAGCCCAGCCCCGTCCCGCCCTACGCAGGTTAAGAGTACCCCAGAACCCAGAGCTCCCGACAGAGGGTCACTGGTGAGGGGTGAGGGTCGAGCTGGTTTGGTTGTCATGGCGATGGTGCGGTTGGCCTGGGCTGTGTGGGCCACTGCTGCGGCGGGGAGGCTGCGCAGTCCCCAAGGCACTGGGGGTGCGCGCAGGCTGAGCGGCAGCACGCGGCAGTGGGCAGCGAGGGGCACTAGCCCCGGGCGCCGGCTCAGCACTGCCTGGGCGCCCACCCAGCCAGCACTAGAGGAGGCCGTGGGTGCCGAGGACGATGCCCATTCACCTGCAGCTGAGGAGCCGTCGTGGACGCCGCCCCCCGCGCCATCAGTGCCTCCTGAACCCCCGGGGTCCCCAGGCAGCCGCTCGCTGGTGCAGCGGGACATTCAGGCCTTCCTGAACCAGTGCGGGGCCAGCCCCGGGGAGGCGCGCCACTGGCTCACGCAGTTCCAGACCTGCCACCACTCCTTGGACAAGCCCTTTGCCGTTATCGAGGTGAGAGGAGCCTGGTGTCGGCCATATCACAGCGAGGGTTTGGGGGTTGTGTGGCGACATGTAGCCAGGTAGGCAGGACCGGTAGCAGACTCTGCACAGCAGAACCAGGAAGAGGCTCAATGGATTCCTGAGGAGTGCCTGGGACTGGGCAAGGCTTTGAGCTCTTCCAAAAGTCTGGCGCCCAGCCCTAGTGCGGAGCCTGGGACGCTAACCCGCCAAGTGTGATGCGCTGGAGAAGGCCCCCACCATGGGCACAGTTAGGGCTTCAGATTGCAAGTGGGGAACCTGAACAGGAGTCACTTTCATCACCCCTCCCCCAAAGTGTCCTAGAGTCCAAGGTCGCAGGGAGGAGCGGAGGGAGGAACACTAGTGTGAGATAAGGGAATGGCAAGACCCAAAGGAGCAAAGGGCGGAGCAGGCAGGCACCAGTAGCCAGAAATAGGGCCTGAAAGCTCCTGGACAGGGTGGGAGCACCTAGAGGGCCCTGAAGGTGGGGCTGTAGGAGCAAGGAGGTGCAGCAGGAGTCAGGACCACTGTCATGTCTTCTGAACGCCCACTCCTCCGCAGGTGGAGGAGGAAGTGCTCAAGTGTCAGCAGGGCGTCTCCAGCCTGGCCTTCGCACTGGCCTTTCTGCAGCGCATGGACATGAAGCCCATGGTGGTCCTAGGGCTGCCTGCTCCCACAGCACCCTCCGGCTGTCTTTCCTTCTGGGAGGCCAAGGCACAGCTTGCCCAGAGTTGCAAGGTGCTGGTGGACGCGCTGCGGCACAATGCTGCTACAGCTGTGCCTTTTTTTGGTGGTGGGTCGGTGCTAGGCGCTGCTGAGCCAGCCCCCCATGCCAGGTTAGTGCCAGCCCTGCCTGCCCCTTAGTAGTCAGATCACATGGCCCGCCTGCCCTGCCCCAGCCCAACAGGCCTGAAAGAGGCCCTCTTGAACATCACGTCTGGCCCACAGCTATGGGGGCGTGGTCTCGGTGGAGAAGGATCTGCTACAGTGGTGCCTGGAGTCTGGCAGCATCCCTATCCTGTGCCCCATTGGGGAGACCACTGCTCGCCGCTCTGTGCTCCTTGACTCGCTGGAGGTGACCGCAGCGCTGGCCAAGGAGCTGCAGCCCATTAAAATCATCTTCCTCAATACCACAGGTGGCCTGCGGGACAGCAGTCACAAGGTGTGTCCTCTCCTTTCAGGCCTCACTTCCCACAACTCCTGGCCTAGCTGAGCCCCTCTCAAGCCCAGTGAGCCGGGAATGGAGTGTCAGGGAGAGTCTCAGCCTGTAGTGCCCAGATCTGAGCCCTCTCTGGCCAAAGGCTCTGGGAGGTGGTAAGAGTAAAGGGGTCAGCAAGGAGAGGTCCGTGGGGCAGGGTGGTCCAGGGCAGGCTGCCGGATGGAGGCTCATTCCCTAGCCCCGGAGGCAGGTCCTGAGTAATGTGAACCTGCCCGCTGATCTGGACCTGGTGACCAGTGCCGAGTGGGTGAGCACCAAGGAACGTCAGCAGATTCGGCTTATTGTGGAGGTGCTCAGCCGCCTGCCCCACCACTCCTCGGCCGCCATTACCGCTGCCAGCACGCTGCTCACCGAGCTCTTCAGCAACAAGGGTAAGGGCAGCAACAAGAGGGATGGGGGTCCGGGTCCAGGGAGTGAGTACCGGCCACTGGGATGGGGTAAGCAGGGGAAGCGGCCTCCTCGTCAGTAGGCCATAGTGAGACTCCACTGCAAAGGAAGATCTCGCTTAACTTGGCGGAGGTAAGCAGGGCGCACGTGACGGGGCTGGAAGTTGAGTGGAACTAGACAAGATGGGTGTGACTTTGGGGGTGGGAGGACCTAGAGGGCGGAGCTTGGAGTGGAATGTACCAGACTAGGAGAGGTGGGAGGGGGCGGGATTAGGCGAAGTAGGTGGGACTGCAGGCGCGGGGCTGACCTTCAGGGACAAACTGCCTGGGAAATGCATCTCCTTTAGTGAAAATCACATTCAAAATCTATGCAGACCACAGAAAGCTTTTCATTAGGGAGATCTCCCAAAGAGAGTAATTGTTCCATCAGCCCCCACCCGTCCTATATGAAACCCCCTACCCCCACCAGCCTACCCAAACAGAGGAGTGGATGGAACCTAGATCTCCCGCTAAACTAACCGCTCGTCCTTCGTCCCACCCCCAGGGTCCGGGACCCTGTTCAAGAATGTCGAGCGGATGCTGCGAGTGCGCAGTCTGGACGACCTCGACCAGCGCCGCCTGGTGAACCTGGTCAACACCAGCTTCGGCAAAAAACTCCGTGACGACTACTTGGCCTCGCTGCGCCCGCGGCTACACTCTGTCTACGTCTCTGAGGGGTGAGCCTGTGGACCTCAGGGACCAAGGGACACAGCTGGTCACTTCAGACCAAGGAGAAGTCCCAACCTGATTCTTCCCCGCTGCACCAGGTACAACGCTGCCGCCATTCTGACCACGGAGCCCGTACTGGGGGGCACCCCATATCTGGACAAGTTTGTGGTGAGCTCCAGCCGCCAGGGCCAAGGATCTGGCCAGATGCTGTGGGAGTGTCTGCGGCGGGACCTGCAGACGCTTTTCTGGCGCTCTCGAGTAACAAACCCCATCAACCCCTGGTAGGTGCTGGTAGGTAGCTCTGGACTGGGCACCCTACCCCTCTCTCACCAGCCACATCCCGGGGCCCACCAGCCAGGAAGGCTAGGTGTTTGTCCCCTTCTTTCACTAGCTGTCCTTTCCCAAGGAAAGGACTCACCTACTGTGGCCCAACATTTCCCAGGACCACACACAGAGAGCCTGAGATTTCCTCACAGGCTGACTACACATAACCCCGCCCCTTCCTGCCCCTACCCTGCAACAGAGGATTCCTAAAAGCAAGTGACAACCACCAACCACCAACTCTCCCAGGCTCCCAGAAAATTCTGTTCAGGCTCTGTTCCAGGCCCACTTGTCCACTCTGACCTCAGGCCCACTGCATCTCCAGCAGAAACCCCTCTTCTCTCTTTCCTTCAGCAACTCCTCACTCCCTATTACCCTGCTCTGTAGGCACCAAGTGGTGAACAAGAACACAAGGCAGTGTGGAGAGAGCAAGGGATGTCCTCATTCTAACCATTGCTGTGAGATTCTGGCAAGCTACCTAACTTCTCTGAGCCTTAGCTGCTTTTCTGTGAAAGCATACCAACACCAGGCTCTTAGCTGCTGCTGTGAGGATACAATCAGATAACAGACAGCAGGTCTTAGCAGGATGTCTAGCATGTAGGAGGTCCTCAATAAATGAACCAGCGAGAAATGAGCACTGGCCTTGCACTAAAAGCTCCCACCACCACTACCAGGTACTTCAAGCACAGTGATGGCAGCTTTTCCAACAAGCAGTGGATCTTCTTCTGGTTTGGCCTGGCTGATATCCGAGACTCCTATGAACTGGTCAACCATGCCAAGGGGCTGCCAGACTCCTTTAGCAAGCCAGCTTCTGACCATGGACTGCAGGACTCCTTTAGCAAGCCAGGCAGCTGACCCTCACCACCGGCCCTGCAGGCCCTGGGACAACCAGGGTGGACCAAAAGCCATGTCTGCTGGAGGTGACTCCAGGCAGCCACAGGCTGGACAAGGTTTGTTGGCTGACTGATCTACAGAGGAAGAAGCAGCCCCTACTCTATTCTGCCCTAGAGGTGGTGGTGGTGGGGGGGATGAAGTTGGACAAGCACAGGAAAGCAAAGGGTCCATCCAAGAACCCCACTTGCTCCAAAGCCACAACTAGATGGCCTTTAATTTTCAGTCTAGGGATTTGGGGGGCAGGGGAGGGCTTGCCTTCAAGGGCTCTACTCAGGGCTAACATTAAGAGTAGGTCAGTTTCTGTGAACTCTGTGCTGCTTTGAGACTCCCTTGCCCAAAATATTATCCCTATCTGCCTGAAATCCCACCACTCATTTTAATCCCTTTGGGTCTTGCAACTTTTCAGGAGGCCTTGATTAAAATGCAAATACTTGTCTGAAAATCAGCTCACACTTGAAAGAAAATAAGCAGTGGCTCTCTGGGAGCAAGATCTTGAGGGCTGAGAACCCAGGGGACTCCTAGAGAGAATAGAAGAGCTAAATGAGAAGGAGGGGCCCCAGTATGAATGCTGCCACCATGTCCCTCAATGCAGCCCCCAAAGGGGCTCCCCTACTCGGGGGAAACATCCTCCATTCCACAGACCTGACAGACAAAAGCCCCAGCTCCCTTTCAGGCAGGGCTCAGAACCAAGCCCAGACTTGGATCCTTTCCCATTGGCCCCCTAGAGGTTGTCTCCATTTTTGTGCAAGCGGACAGGCAGTAGCCCAAAGCTGGAGGTTTTATTGAACATTTTTGATCCCCGTGATGTGCCAGGCACCATAGTGGTTGCTGGGGCTACTTTCTACCAGGAGGTACAGGGTCAAGTAGGGCGAGGGTCAATTAAGAGGCCACCATAGCTCAGCAGGTGTGGCTCAGTGGATTGAGCATCCTCCCGTGGAGTGAGAGGTCCCGGTTTGATTCTCAGTCAGGGAACATGCCCCGGTTGTGGGCTCAATCTCCAGTAGGGGGCATGCAGGAGGCAGATGATGGATGTTTCTCTCTCACATCGATGTTTCTCGCTCTCTCCCTCCCTCTCTCTCTAAAATTGAATAAAAACATATTTAAAAAAAAAAAAAAAGAGGCCACCATAGCACAGCAGCAGCTGTGAGAGGACCAAACCCTGAGAGCAGCCTGTCTTCCCTCAGGAGAGGGGTGACATTCAGTATACATCTGGGCATTGGCCTTAGACAGACCTGACCTGCAATTCAGCTCTGTGGCTGGGTTTGTCCTCTGGCTTGAGGGAAGCTGCTTACCTTCTCTGAGTTTCCACTTTCTCACCTGTAAAATGTAAAATTCTTGGCCTCATAGTGGACACTTAATGTTAGTTCTCTCCCTCCAGTTACCCCCACCAAGGACTTCTTCAAAAACAGCTGACACCAAATGGGGAGGAAAAATAACCTACAAGAAGATTGAGGTGAGAGGTCAAAAGAATATACTACAGGGAGGATTAAGAGATCCTTGAAGAGAGCCAAAAAATTGTGGGAACTTTCAGAATAGGAGGAAGATCACAAGAGGACCATGGTTGGGCTTAACCAGATATGGTCTTTCAAGAATCCCAAAGTCAATCCCAGCCAATGGCAAAGTGCCCCATGGGGAGAACAGAGAAGCAAAGCCAAATGTCTATATAAAATGTTTATTTTTGGAGGACTGTGTGGTCTGGTGTTTGGGAGGGCACTCACCCCCACCAGGCCAGCCATAGAGCTGGAAACAAGGCAGGAAGCAGGAAGTTGGCTGCTGACTGCCCCACCCTTTCACACCCAAGAAGACTGGGGCCTGCTCTGCTCTCAAGGTAGGTGACAATTAGTGTTATTTTTGCCCCTGACATATCCTGAGAACCCATGTGACTTCTGTGGAGCCCAGCCTCTCTGCTCCTCTTGGCCTGATCCAAGTGTAAACATACAAACACATTCTCAGTCTCCGAAAAGCACTACAAAGCCTAGCTGCAACTGCCAGGGTCAAAAGGAATTTTTCACTTTTGTTCACTTCCAGTTCTTAGTCTTCCTCCCTCTGTCTCCCACTCTCAATACCCTAACCCAGCCCTGCCTTACTCTCTTCTCTGGAACATAAGACCCAGGAGAGCAGCTGATGTCAGCTCTTCTCTTAACAAATGGAAAAAAACCCTGTAAGGCATCTTCATCAGGGATCCCCCCTCAAGGGCTGGGCCCAGGAATTGGGGAACACACTTGCCTCTTACCAACACACACACATACACACAGAGCAAAGGATCAAACAAATAGACCAAAAAGCATAAATAAACATAACTGGACCAGCAAGGAGGAAGGTGGGGTGGCCCTCAGTGGCTCCCTGCACGCTCAGTCTCTCCCCATGCAACTCAGCCGTCAGTGGCCAGGATGACAGCGGCCCCAAAGATGCCCACACTTTCTCCAAGGAGCTTCATCTGGTTCCAGAACTCAACGCGCCGTGTGTTGTGCCAGTAGGCAACATTGCCATCAATGAGCAGCATGACAGGGGGCAGCAGTACAGCCAGGATCTGGGCAGCCAGGGTCACGTAGTAGCCAGACAGGAAGGCCAGGGCCAGGACACCGTAGAGCAGGAAGAATAGCTGGATCATGAGCTCCCCTCCTGGGAGATGGTTCAGATATGCCAGCCGGTCCTCTTTGCTGTGCTGCAGTGAGTAGGCCTAAAGACATACCATCTTCTAAGTCTGTAGAACAGGCTGAGGAGCCTGTCAGAAGCCCACCCAAGATGGCACCTGCAAGTCAGCCTCTGCAAGGTGGGCTTCTGACTCCCCTCTCTTAGACTTAAGGCTCTTTGAAAATAGGGCCTACATCCCCCCTCAGACTAAGACACTCCATGAAACTAGGGCCTATGTCTCTCCTCTCCTTACTCTGGGAGCTCAGAAGATAGGAAGTGTTTCTCCATAGTCATACTGGGGTTCTCACCTCTGAATCCAGAGCTCTGCACATGGAATATGGTGCCTAGTAACATCCCCATCCACACTAGCCTCCCCTAAGAGCACTAGGGAGGACCATAATTGACTACCCTAGGCAGCCCTCATCAGTTATTTTATTTTTTTAATCCTCACCTGAGGATATGTTTATTGATTTTAGAGAAAAAGGGAGGGAGAGAAACATCAATGTGAAAGAGTAACATCGATCAGTTGCCTCCCATACACACTTCAACGGGGGCTTAAACACACAACCTAGGTATGTGCCCTGACCGGGAATTGAACCCAAACCTTTTCAGTGTACGGGATGAAGCTCCAATCAACTAAGCCAACCAGCCAGGGCTTTTTTTTTTTTTTTTTTTAATTTGCCCCCATCAGTTCTAAGTGGTAGAGTCCCAGCTGGGGCCTGAATCCACCAAACCTCTCCTTTGTCCCCTATCCCATCTCGTGGGAGCCAGACCCAGGAGAGAAACAATTTATCTTGTTCTCCTGGTTCTCAGGCTTTGGATTAAATGGCTAATCCAAACTTTTCTCTCCCTGGTGGCAATAATACTGGAAGAATATTGGTCAGGTCTCAGGTACCCGGAGGGCCTCTGAGGCCCAGAGCTGGCAGGAGCAATTCATCAGGACCTACATGCAAGGCCTTCTGCCCACCTTCCTGGGTTCTGCCAAGCATGGGCTCACATTTTATTCCCAGTCAAGCACCTCCAGCCAACAGTCCCCCAACCTACCACACAGATGAGATAAATGCCCAGGAAGACCTGGCCGGTGGACTGGAGGGATCGGCTACGGGGTTTCCGTCGGTAGAGTTCCCCAGCGCCACTAGCCAGCACAAGAAATCCGCCAATGATGGCAACTGTGCGCGAGTACATACGGACCTAGATCAAGGCAAGGGTACCCCAGTCAGGAACTGCAACTGCCACATATCTCCTGACTGCCCAGAGCACAGAAATGTCCTCTCTATATATCCCCTTCCATCTGATGAACCCTCTTACTACTTCCAAGTGTGGTGGGCAGGTACAGCAGAGATTCTTTTTATCAGAAGTGGCCCAAAAGGGTTAATAAAATTGTCCAAGGTCCTACAGAAAGTAAGTGACAGAACCCAGATACCAAGTGTTGTCTCCTTCCCACATTCAGGCCTGCAGACTGGAATCCCAGTGTTCTTTCTGCTATATAGTATAGTCTGCTCCATAAAAACAAAACAAAACAAATTTAAAAACCCACTGATCTCACTGTCCTATAGCTGTTCATACATCTGCCTCCTGTCCTGGACAAATTCTCCGAGGGTAGTGCCTTTGTCCAGGCCTATCTCCAAGCCCACAATGCCCAGCAGAAGTTCTGTCATTTACAGGCTTACATGCTGCACTGGGATTACTAAAATGTCAGGCACTCTCTAAGGTTACTTTTGCCCTATGAGTCTGAGATTACTAATGATTTAAAGGGTTCTGGAAACCAGGTGATCTGGGTCCTGATTCCAGCTGTAATGATAACTGTGGTGTGAATTTGGGTAAGTCTGTTTCCCATCTCTGGACCTCAGTTTCCACACTCTGTAAGGAAAACTTGTATGATCTCTAAGGTCCTGCCATTCTTGCAGTCTGTAATAATCTCCACACGCACAGAGCTCCCCATCACCCTAGCAAAGTTTTCCCCAAGGCCGAGGCGCTCACCTTTAGCCAGTCCCCGTAGTGGACGTAGCCCCCAACGTAGGCAGCGTAAGTGCTAATGGCCAGCTGGAGTGCGGCGCCCAGGGCAAACCAGCGCCGCTTCACTCCGAAGGACATGAAGCTAGCGCACAGCACGGCCGCCCCCATGTCGAAGTACAGGTAGGGCACTGGGATGTCGGGCTTCCTGCAAGCCAGGAGGGGGTAAACAACGGTATCAGAATGAATAAGGGAGACAGATTTGAGACCCCTTGAGTTCCCACCAGCTCTAATGCTCGCCCAAACCGGAGCCCCCTCCCATGACCATGCCCCGCCCCACACACACTATGCTCGATGTCCACCTTGCTTCAGTCCAGAGCTCCTAACAAGTCCGAGGTTCCAATTTCTCCCAGCCCAAGGGCCCCACCTCACCGCATCCCTGTTCCTAGGACGCACCGTACCACCTCCCACCGCGGGGGCCAGCTCACCGGCGCGCCTCTGCCCTTTCCGCGTACAGCATGAGCTGGCTGAAGCAGCCCCAGAAGGGGCAGCGTGTGAGCAACACCGAGCCCAACTGCATGAGCAGCTGTAGTAGCCATCGTCTGGAGCCCACCTTCGACGCCATCTTAGGGAAGGGCAGTCCGCTGCGGCCTCAACCGGGTCAGGGAGACTGGCGCCGGGGTGCGACACCCAACTTCCGGTCTCACGGGGTTTGCTTTTAACCCTTCCGTAGAGAAACAAGGCGCTCGTTCTGTAGTTCTGGATCAAAGGTGGTGTTCTAGCAACAGAGTTGTCTTTCCCTCTGCCCATGGAGGCTTATGGCCCCTTTCTGTAGCTGCAAAATTGAAAACTAGACTCAAGGAAGAAACAGTGGGTTCAGGACATGAGAAACCCTGAGTCACAACTTAATGAAGCGAACTAATCTTTGAATGCAGCTACATTGGGGCTTCAGTCCTAACTCCAACCGTTACTTTGGGCATATTGGCTACACTTTTCAAGATTAATTTGTGAAATGGAAATGACATCTACTTTAGGGTTGTTGTGAGGTTTAAATGTGATGTTGATTCTAGCACACAGAGGTTCAGTAAACGGTGTACATACTCAAACCAGCAGAAATCTGCTACTGTACAAATTCAAGAAGGTTCTCCTGAGTCACCTGTGAAGTCTCATCTTGGTCCTGCCTCTGCTATGTCCCCTGAGAGATCTGATGTGGACATATGGGACATCTCATCAATTCTTTTTTTTCAGTCCCCATACTCCCACTTTAGCCCAAACTACCATCTTTTGTGGGTTTAACTACAGCAGGTTTCCAATTGGTCACCCCCACTTCTCCTTTACCCTCATTTGTTCTCAGCTCCCCTATTTTGTTTTCATAACCATCAGGTACGCTTCTTTTGAATCATTTTGCACATAGGCAATTATATATTTGTGATTCTTCTATTAACGACTATATTAACAATGGATTGTGAGCTCCAGACCAAGGATAGGGTCTGGTTTCTGTTTACTACTCTATTCTCAGGGCCTAGTATACAGGATGCATGCATCCAAGAAATATGTGCTGAATAAAGTGAACAAAAGGTGTTGCCACTGTATCTTATAGTTGTTACTTAGCAATTATTTGAATAAATAAATGGGCAAAAGTTAGGGGCATTCTGGGATTGCCACCACAAAGCTGCCCCACACACCACCATACAACACAAATTAATCTTCCAATACCAAAGTTAAGACTCTACAAGTGCCCTGGCTGGTGTGGTTCAGTGGTTAGAGTGTTGGCCCTCAGAACTGAAGGGTCTGTTTCCATTCCCAGTCAAGGCCACATACCTGGGTTGCAGCGTTGATCTCCAGGAGAGACAGAACAGGAAACAACCAATCAATGTCTCTCTCTCCCTTCCACCCACTCCCTCCTCCCTTCCATGCTCTAAAAATCAATGGAAAAAATATCTTCAAGTGAGGATTAACCAAAAACCAAAAATGTACAAGCACTTCCTTCCATCAGTACATTTAATTCAGGTCTGGGCCCTGGCCAGTTTGCCTCAGCAGTTAGAGCATCAGCCCGCGGTCCAGAGAGAACGGGGGTTTGGTCTCCACTAAGGGCACATACCTCAGTTGCAGTTTGTCCCTGGCCCCGGTTGGGGTTGTGCGGGAGACAACCGCTCAATGTGTCCGTTTCACATCGATGTTTCTCTCTCTCTCTCCCTCCCACTCTAACTGAACAAAAATGGAAAAATGTCCTTGGGTGAGGATGAAAAAAAAAATTCAGGTCTGGTTTTAGTTCCCTTGGGGGAAAAATACGCATGTCCAAACAGTATATTTCTGATAAAGAGATTAAAAATTTCCAATCAGACCTGGCAGTTTTGGCTCAGCGGTTAGAGCATCAGCCCACTGACCGAAGAGTCGAGGGTTTGATTTCCAGGTCAAGGGTACATACCTGGGTTGCAGGTTTGACGCACACACACACCCTCCCATCAGGGTTGTGTGGAAGGCAACCAATCAATGTCTCCCACATCAAAGCTTCTCCCTCCCTCCCTTCCACTCTCTAAAAATCGATGGGAAAATATCCTCAGGTGAAGATTAACAACAAAAAAGGTAGCATCTCCAGGCAAGGGGAATGAGAAAATACCTAGATTAAAGGTTATTTTGGCCCTGGCCAGTATTTCTCAGTGGTTAGAGCATTAGCCCATGGACCAGAGTCCCGGGTTTGATTCTAGCCAAGGGAGGTACCTCGGTTGCGGTTCGTCTTCAACCCTGGTTGGGGCCGTGCAGGTGGCAACCAATCAATGTGTCTCTCTCACATCAATATTTCTCTTTCTCTCCCTCCTTTTTTCTATTTATCTTCAGATGAGGGAGGGAGATAAATAGAAAAATATACTCAAGTGAGGATTATAAAAAAGTCATTTTACCTTTCCTGCTCACCAGTGACAACCATGAGGTAAATTTTCATAATACAAGCACATAAGTACAGAATAAACTTTCCAATTGACTATTTTTCTAATCTCCTCACCCATCCCTGATTCAAATGGGACAAGATACACAAGCTTGGGAAGAAGCTAAGGTTGAGAAGGACTGGATATGGGATCGTATATGTCCTTAAAATAGTTTTAGGAGCTGCCCAGGTTATGCCAACAGGAACATTCCCCTACCCCAGACCATCTCCATCATAACTTTGGGGAAAAGAGAATAGGATTAGTGAAGTTTTCCTTGGTACTCATCCCATCCTAATTTCCTCTGGTGTTCAATCTCTACCTTTTTTTTTTTTTTCTAAAGAAATAAACCTTTATTTTTATTTATTTTATTTATTTGCATTTATCATCAGATAGAACGGAAGGGAGAGAGAAACATCAGTGTGAGACACATCGATTGGTTGGCACCCCAACTGGGCCAGGGACAAACTGCAACCAAGGTTCGTGCCCTTAGTGGGAACCGAACCCAGGACTCTCTGGTCCGCAGGTCGATGCGCTAACCACTGAACCAAACCGGCCAGGGCTCAATCTCTACTACCTTTTATTGCCCTCTCCTCAAAAGGATAATGAAGACTAGGGGCCAAATCCCTCTTTCTAGGGCTGGGAAAGATGCTGGTATTGTGCTAGATCACAAGATAAATAGGTGAGTAGGAGGCTCCTAAGACCTGAGATGAACACAGCAATTTGTCCCTCTTCCTGCCACCATTCCTTCCAACCCTGCCTGAACAACAGCCCATAAGACTTCTGAGGAACATCCCTCTTCCTCTCCCACAGCTCCATCTGCTTTCCCCAGTCCAGTTGCCTCAACTTTCCTCTGCAACAACCCCTACCTCTCCGGAGGACTCCCCTGCTCCTCCAACCTGAACTTGCGCTTGCCACAGCCACAGTGACGGTGACCAGCATGGTACCCAGCACAGCCGCTGTCTTGGACAGGCAGAGCCAGGTCTCTACACTGCTCAGCACTGCCCCCACCAGCCTCCCAGGTGCAGCACAAGTCTGGATGCACAAATCAGCCACATATAAGTGCCACAGGTGGTCCAGCTTACCAAAGGCCCACTGCAGGTCACAGCCACACACCCAGAGGTTACTGGCCAGCAGCAGCCATGTGCATACTGTCTGAATGCCCACTATCGCCTTGAACTCAAGGTGCTGTTGCCTACTAGAGAGAGGAGGCCCAAAACCTGCAGGGCTGCAAAGGCCTCAGCCTCCAGCTTGCTGATGTCATTCCCAACTAGACAGAGGACCTGCAGGCCTGGCATGGTGGCCAGTGCCACATCCCCAACTCGCTGCAGCTGGTTCCCAGCCAGCAAGAGCCAGTGTAGGTGGGAGAGACCCCTGAGCCTGGCTGTGGCTCAAGTTAAGCTGTTCCAGGTTCCCCAGGCCCCAAGGCTACAGAAGTCCATGGTGGCAAGCAGGTTGTAAAAGAGATCCAGGCAGAGCAGAGAACCAAGGATGGCCAAGAAGTCCAGGGACAATCAGACGAACCGGTTGTAGCTGAGGTCCAGCAGCTCCAGGACACCCAGGCCCCGCAGTGCTCCATGAGCCAGATCCCATAGGACATTGTAAGAAAGCAGCAGCACCCACAGTCCCCACAGGCCCTGGAAGGAGCCATCTGGCAGGTGGCTAGATTATTGTGGCTCAACTCCAAGAGCTAGATTCAGTCAGGAAGCCTGGAAGGATGAGCAGGTGGAGGCCCCCACAGTCCATCACGCTGCCCATGGCTGGGCAGGTGCATGGTACTGGGTATGCTGCCACCAGATTCCCAAACGAGGCTGATGTCACTATTGTGGCCATGGCCACTGCGATGATGAAGTGGCCACACCTGTCCCATCCTTGCTTGTCCCCTGAGGGTCTGGGGTGAGGATGGCATCAAGGTACTCATGGATGCTCTCCTCCACCCAGAATGCTGGGCAAGCATGGGAGCTAGGAGAGAGAAATAAAAGCAGACGCCATTCAGGGATCTTATCATTTCCCCCCAACATGGTCTCTAGGAATCTTCCCTGCATCCCCCACTATTTTACCTGCTACCTAGGTTCTGGCAAAAGCCACCTTAGCTGAAGACCCCAGCATCCTGATCCCCCATCCCTAGCTACCTCTAATCCTCTTATTCCTACTAGAATAAAAAGTGATCAGGGAAGATGGATCTGTTTATTCCTCCAGATCCCTTTTTCATTACAACTTCACAACCCAGCTAACTTACTGCCCCCACAGCCCTAGCAGAAATGCTTTCTCCAGCCTACAAGATAGAACCCTGACTAGATCCTGGCCTAACCTAGCCATTGAGGTCAAGGCCTGAGGCCTCAGAAGCCCAGTGAACTCATCTATATCCCTGGCACCACCTACTGAATGCAGCCCCAGCCCAGGAACAGCAGTGGAAAGAATCTCAGCTGTAGTTACCTCCCCTCCTGGCCTCAGACCAGAATCCTACCCCAAAAGCAGTAGAGATCAGCTCTCAGGGAAGCTATAGCCTTGAGAGTGGGGATGAGACAAAGGTTGAGGAAATTTCCAAGGCCTGCCCTGGCCGGTTTGACTCAGCGGCCTGCGGTCCAGAGAGACCAGGGTTTGGTTCCCACTAAGGGGATGTACCTTGGTTATAGTTTGTCCCCGGCCCTGGTTGGGTCGTGTGGGTGGCAACCACTCAATGTGTCCCTTTCATGTCTCTGTCTCTCTCTCTGTCTCTCTTCCCCACTCTATCTGAACAAAAAATGGAAGGAATGTCCTCAAGTGAGGATTAAAATAATTCTACCTTGAAAATG